GCCGGCCCCTCCGGCTGACTCAGACCCGGGCCCCTCCGCGCCTCCGAGCGCCCATCCCTGGGGCTGGAACGTGAGAGAACACCCTTGTGCGGACCCGCGGCCCGACAGCTCTGCGTCCACTCGCAGCGCCAAGCGCCACTGTCCCCGCTGGGGCCCCATCACCGAACTCCGCCCGCACCCGCACCGCTCCGCAGCCGGGCCGCGGCGCGGGCGAAACGGAGCCGCGCCCCGCAGTGCGTCCCCGCCCGCGCCCGGGCCGGCCGGGTCCCGGGAAGGCGCCGGGGCCACCGCAGCCGCGCCGCCAGCCCCCCCGGGCGACAGCGCCCGCGCCCCGCCGCCACCCTCCCGGCCGTGCGGGCTCGAGCCCTACCTGCCGACTACTGCCACCCCGCCGGGCGCCGAGGACGCTGGGGACGCCATAGCCCGCGCGGTGCCCAAGCCCACAGCTGCAGCGCGCGCCACCCGGACACTGGCTCCGCCCGCCCCAGAGCCGCGACAGGGCCCGGGAGCCTGGCCCATGGGTGGGGCGCGGGCGGAGCCTCCACCTCTCCACGCCCCGCGAGCGCGCAGGGCTCGGGGCCTGGCAGGCGGGGCGCTTAGCACAGCGTCGGGTGAGGGGGGCCGTCTGGCCCATCGCGGGCGCGCGGAGCATCCACTTCCCCTCGCCCCGGGGCGCGCACGGGAGGAGCTGCCGGGAGGACCACGTGGACTGGACGCCCGGTGGCAGAGCAGCCACTTCGGACTCCAGTAACTCACTTTGTTTTGGACATTTCCCAACGGCGCCCCTAAAGTCGGTGCACGGGGAAAGGACACCTCCAGACCAGGACAAGGCGTGGCCGCTAAAGGACCCCGCAAAATTATCACTAGAATCCCCTTCCCGTGTGAAGACATTAGCACCACTTCCGTCCACACCAGCTCAAGGCCTTAAGCTGAAGACGGTTAGTGCTGAGTTCACACTGGTAGTTCGTTTCTGGGAAGACCCCGCCTTTCTCCGCAGATGAGGCCGAGGCCCAGGAGCCTTGGGACAGCAGGCAGAAAAGCTGGGGGGAGGGGGGAGGGGCAAACTGGAAGGCTGTGGAGCCCGCCGCAGCCAGGCTGTGTTTCCTCCTACCAAAGGCCTAGATGGTTTCTGCTCCAGGAGAAGGAAACGTCACCGCGCCACCCCTGGCTCTTTTTGGAAACAGACCGGAGGAAAGGGCATCACATGTCCCGTGACAACACTGTCCACACAGCACAAACGGGGGCACACCAGTCATCCAGGTCAAGACGATTAGGCAGCTGTCGAGCGGAAACGCATGACACTGAGACTCGGGTGATGCACGGAGCCCTTCCTCTGTCTTCCTCGGTCAGGAGCGAAAAGAGGAATGTCAGAGCCAGAGCAATTTCACAAGTTATCAATAAACATTTGAAAAGGCACTCAACTCACTTTAGAGAAGAGAATGAAAAGTGACACAACAAAGATGTCGTCTTTCGCCCGTCAGGCTGGCTGAAATTATGAAGACTGATAATGTTCCCAAGTCGGCGATGAAGTCTTTCAGAGGCACACCTCTTTCCTGCACAAATGCTACAGTGGTACGTAGTTGGGAGAGCGTCAGGTGCACCTGGTGCTGAGGGTACCAGACTGCAAGGCTTCCCCAGCCCAGATCTGAGCGGTTTCCGTAGCCACACAGGCAGCAAGCCGATCAAGGCGCGTGCAGAGTGCGCAACCTGTAGGGCGCGCTCCCGGGGTGGCAGCAGCTGGGCTGTTCGCTGCTCTGCAGTGCTAGCTAGCTCTTTGCTAAGAAGGTGCTGGTCCCTAGACTCGTGGCAGTTATGGAAGTCGTGAGAAAAGGCAAAAATCGAAAACAGTGCTCAGGCTTTGTTTTTCAGCGAGCCGTTACAGGGGCAGCGCACGGCCCAGGCAGCAAGGGTGGCCCCGGAGACTACACTCAGCATCTCAGCATCAGATGCCAGAGCTCTGAACTGTGTCTGTGAGCATCTGTGCTTCATCTCATTTATTTTGTGCTCCCCTTAGCAAGACGTGTCCTAAGGTAACTGCTCCTTTGATTTACCCATTTCGGCTTATGAAAAAACTCATAGGAACACTCCACTTCCAGATAGCAGGAAACTCAGACCTGTGATTCAAGTTACATGTGACTCGAGAAAAGACTAATCTACTCTGTAAGGATAGGAGATGAGTGGCTGTCTGGGCCTGGGAGTGCAGGGGATGATGCCTCAGGAGGGGCACAAGGGAAATTTTGCATCTATAGGAGTATTCTGTATCTTGATTATGGTGATTGTTACACAGGTGTAGAGATTTTCAAAACTCATTGAAATATACACTTAAATGAGTGTATGATACTATATGTAAGTTATACATATATACCTCAATAAAGTTGATTTTGGGGGGAGTAGGATTTTGGATGATTTATATCCTTCGAGAATAAATGTTTGGGTCACCGCACCCCTCTCCCACCTAGGGAAAAAAACACCACACAAAACCTTGATCAGCTGAGATGCTGAATGAGGGTACACTTGCAACACGTAGTTGGAAAAAGAAGTCATAAATATTATGTTCTGACCAGTAACAGAGGTGGTGCGTGTTGCAGCCATTCATTTTTTCTTATTTGTATCTGTGTGTGTGTTACCTAATTTCTTTTGCCTCCCTCCTCCTTTTCCCTTATTATTTTATGTAAGGGCTGTTGGTAGTGTGTAACGTTATAATTTAGTCATTAGGTCACAAAATCCTCAGGTGAGACTTAAACAAATTAGACATGGACACCAAGAGTGTTGCCCAGAGATGGGTGCCATGACTCTTAGCTCTTTCTTCCCTTTGGGGCGAGAGGGTTAGGGCCTCTATGTGGGAGAGAGAACTGCATCGTCTTAGGAGAAAGCATGGCCTTCACTGTTGTGACACAAAAGGTCAACCATGTTTAGAAGCGTGTTTAGACTGTGCCAGTTATTATTAAACTGCTGTCTCTCTGCTCCACATTCACCCTTCTACACATGTTCTGTTGTGTGACGCTGAAGCTGGCTTCCTGTGACGGTCCACCAGCGGGGGGCTGGAGAGAAAACACAGGGCAGGTCGGCTTGCTGATCCTCCTAGTGTCGCCCTAACAATCGCCCGGGTGACCTCTGCTGGTTCCTCCTCCAGCTTTGTGACCCCCCCCAGGCACAGCCTCTCACACCCCTCAGAGGCTCCACTCCCCCCCAGGCCCCTCCTCTGCTAGTCCCCAAATCTTCCTGCATCCCTGAGTCCCAGGAGTAGCGGCCCTCCTGACGTTCTGTGCTTTTCAGTCCAAGAATGACAGAACAAATTCTCCATATTAAATTCTCTGTTGAGTGAGATAGATAGATAGATAGATAGATAGATAGATACTCTGCTGAAATTTTTGGGTGGTTTCTGTGTTTCAGACTGGAATTTTGACTTGTATAAATGTTGACAGCTGGTGTTTATCAATCAATTCTATTGGTTTTTCTTTTAATTAGCTTAATTGAAATTGATCTTGATACACCTTGGTTATAGATTTCAGAGATTCTTTTTTTTTTTCTCTTTTTTTGGCCATGCCACGCAGCATGAGGGATCTTACTTCCCCGACTAGGGGTTGAACCCGTGCCCCCTGCAATGGAGGCGGGGAATCTTAACCACTGGACGGCCAGGGAAGTCCCATGAGATTCTAATTTATCTTTGGAAATTCAACTTGGGTAGCCTGAGACTCAAGTATGAGAGGAAGGTCCGTGGTTCAGAAGAGGAAGCTGTTAACTTGATGAAGTTAAAACTGCATCCAGGGCTTCCCTGGTGGCGCAGTGTTGGGAGTCCGCCTGCCGACGCAGGGGACGCGGGTTCGTGCCCCGGTCCGGGAGGATCCCACATGCCACAGAGCGGCTGGGTCTGTGAGCCATGGCCGCTGGGCCTGCGCGTCCGGAGCCTGTGCTCCACAGTGGGAGAGGCCACAACAGTGAGAGGCCCGCGTACTGCAAAGAAACAAACAACAACAAAAAAAACTGCATCCAGCCCATGAAAACATGCAGATTCTAACACAATTAGAAATCGAGTGTTATTCATTGGAATGGGTTTGCACAGCCAAAGTTTCCTTATTACAGATCTTGCACATATAACCAAGTATTCAGCCACTGAAAATGGGCCAGATGATGGCTAAGGTAAATTTGGGACACGTTTCAGAGGGTGAATTCCTTGTGTATTTCCAGTCATTTCTAAGATGAAACCACCTCAATGGCAGTTTCTCTTTTTTTTTTTTTGCGGTACGCGGGCCTCTCACTGTTGTGGCCTCTCCCGTTGCGGAGCACAGGCTCCGGACGCGCAGGCTCCGCGGCCATGGCTCACGGGCCCAGCTGCTCCGCAGCATGCGGGATCTTCCAGGACCGGGGCACGAACCCGTGTCCCCTGCATTGGCAGGCGGACTCTCAACCACTGCGCCACCAGGGAAGCCCTATTTGTAGACTTTTTAATGATGGCCATTCTGTCTGGTGTGAGGTGGTACCTCACTGTAGTTTTGATTTGCGTTTCTCTAATAATTAGTGATGTTGAGCATCTTTTCATGCGCCTACTGGCCATCAAGAAAATCTTGAACTTCATTTTGTTTTTCACACCAATATCATATTGCTATTCTTAACTAATTTTTTTTGTATTCTAGACAAATCAAATAAATATGTTGATTTCGTTTAGCAGGAAGATTTCACCACAAAATAAGGTATAATTATAGAAACAAAGAGTTTAAAGAGGAATGCTCTGATGTTAGAATTGAATTGAAAATATCAGTAAGAACTCACACCTTTAAAAAAAAAAAAAAAAAGGTATTTTCCAGCTCTGCTTGCCGAAACAGCCCAGGCTTAACAGTACCCAGTATCTCAAATCTGATCTGACCCCCCGATGCCCAAATCTTGGTCTGTAATGCCATTTTCACTAAAAGGAACCAGGACTCCATGGAGAAATTGTTGATGTGTGTTTGGTGCAGGAAGGGTACCAGGTTGGCTTGTGTGCCCAGAGGCAAGAAAGCATTCAGATACCAATGGGACAACATCAGTGGACCTAGCACTCAGCCCAGAGGGTCGTTAGCAACGAGAAGATCCACTTGGGATACCTGGTCAAATGCTCTGCTCTTAAGTGACCCCAATTTACTTTTAAGACTCGGATTATTGAAATTTTTTTTAATATTTTAGTTTCATTGCAGTATAGTTGATTTACAATGCTGTGTTAGTTTCAGGTGTTCAGCAAAGTGATTCTGTTATACATATACATATATTCATTCTTTTTTAGATTCTTATCTCATATAGGTTATCTACAGAATAGTGAGTACAGTTCCCTGTGCTATACAGTAGGTCCTTGTTGGTTATCTATCTTATATATAGTAGTGTGTGTGTGTTCATCCCAAGGTCCTGATTTATCCCTCCCCCTAAAATATTTCTTAAGAAGTAAGTATATAAAGGTTTAAGAGAATAAAGGCCATGGTATTTATGTTTTTGA